TCTTTTGCAAGTGCCAGAAAGAAGAAAGCCCAGTCTCTTATATACACAGGGAGCAAACGTAAGAGTACCCTTCACTTACCACCTACATACTATGAAGACTAAATGTAAGATGACCAGGGACAAAAAAAACCAACTGAGGGGTTAGAAGAGAAACCCAGAGCATCCTGTGGTCCTGCAGTCCTTCGACAGATGAGGGATATAAGCACACCGGCTGATGATCAAACGCTGGCAATGCTTCTGCATTTCCTCTTCTGAATGTTAACCAGAGACCTTCTTAAGGGTGCTATCTCAGCCACGGCATATGCCGGGAACGTCCCCAGTGCACCTGAAACCTCCTCACAGCAGGATAAACTGAGACAGACTCTAAGTCAAGAGCGAAGTGAGGCAGATGACTCTTCAGCAAGGGTGATGCCCACCGTTGTACAAAGGTGATTGCATAGGGAAGGACTAACTACAGCTCAAGAACTTAATTTAAGTCTTAGTCTGGTATTCTCCACAAGGCTGAAAACCATCTGTACAGAACCTACCCACACTGAGAAGAAGAGCCTTTTTCTTCTCCATATAGAATCATTCATTGTCATTGACAATGGGTCAGAAAGCTGTCAATAATCCCAATTACATCCAAGAAACACCTGATTATATTGACTCCATACTTCTGTCATTTTTACCTTTTAGGGGAAAAAAAATAAAATAATTTACTGTCCAAGTGGCATTTAAATCAACTGTTGGTAATGGCCTGCAGTGTCACAAAATGGTCACAAAATTAAGAACAGGTTTAACTCACTGAGAAAAGAAGTTCCTGCTTAGCCCTGAGCTGAGAGTACAGGCATATCCAAAAGCATAACACAGCTGCTCATAGTCTAGCAGATATACAACAGATTACAAAGGGGTTTTTAAGTGAAAAGTAAAATGTGGTAATATCATGCCTATCTGCAAAGGTAGGCTTTGAAGATATGAGCTTTTATGTGTAGAGGACCAGATTTTAACCTCATCTCCTGAAGGCACCCCCTATTTATGTATAATATTTATATTAATAGCAGCTTTTTTAATAATTAAACTAAGAGAGCAAATCAGCAACAGTGGATGTTAAAGAGTTTTCTGAATTCCTTGTCTGAAAAGAATTATGTCAAACAGTAATGACACATTTCATCAAACTGCTTAAAGATTTGTAACTGGATTATCTGAAATTTCATGAATTAGAGAATTTTTCTCTATATGTGTACCCTTTGCTAAGTGATAAAGGAGCAGCTAGCATGGTCTTTTGAATCTGACTTGTGATTGCTTTCTAAATCAAGTAGTCACTCACATCTGGGGGTGTAAAATGCTGCAATTTATGTTCTTGAGCTGAGTTTTTTTCAATCTAATATTCTGTCATACCTTTTTGCACAGATTTGAGTAAGGAAGGTGTGGACAGATGGGGAATTGGTTTTGGTTTTGGGTTTTTTTTTTTTTCCCCCTCCCCTCTGTAAATACCTCTTAGCACAAATCTGTGTGTTCTTTAGATCTTGTAATAGATCATTTGCACTAGCAAGAAAGATTCAGAGATCAAAATAGTTCACAACCTATTTAAACATATTTCAGAACTTAAAGGTTGAATGTAATTTAGCTGGTAAACATTGAACACCACAAAGCAAAACGAACTCAGGAACTCTAGGCGTTTGTATAATCTCATTACTGTTACTGATCATTAATATGTTACGGTGACTGCATTTTATCTGGTGAAATGTATATGGGGAGCATTACAGATTTCTAAGTCGTGACTTGTATTTATTCATTAAAATAATATCCAGTAGTTACTTTGTACTGCTTTTAGAAAATGGAAAACCTAGAGTGCAACTAGCACAAACACCCCGTCTTGCAATGACTCTGCCAGAAGGTATCTTTGGTGGAACGCAACAAAAGAATCCAAGAGCCCATGTAACTGGGCAGCCCTTGGAACATGCTCTGTAGGAAGGGGATAAGACTTGTTCTGATGATGACAGGTTCACACAATCACGAATGGTTGAGGTTGGAAGGGACCTCTGGAGGTCACCCGGTGCAAGCCCCCTGCTCAAGCAGGGCCACCTAGAGCTGGTAGCCCAGGACCATGTCCAGACGGCTTTTGAATATCTTCAGGGATGGAGACTCCACAACTTCCCTGAGCAACCTGTGCCAGCGCTCGGTCACTCTCACAGTACTGACGTGAGAAGGTGACAAAAACTTATGAATTGTACTATAAGGGACGGCTAGATTTCACAGATGGTTACAGGGAAATTCTGTGAGTCTGGCCATTTCTCACAAATAACTGAAAGACTATATTGGGGACTTTTTGGGAAGCACAATCTTGCAAGGGCCGACAGCACGGGGTGATTCTATACAAATCTAAGACTACCTTAAGAAACAATATCAGAAATACCAAATTTGGGTAGGGATGTAGCAAAACTGGGACCAATGGAGAAAAAGTAATCAGAGGTGGTTGGTTTGTTTGAGAGGGAATGAGGCTGGTAAAGGGGAAGAAAAAGGAAATGGGAAAAGGGGGAAGAAAGGGGATCTAAAGGGCAGCTAATCCTAGGATCAGGGATATTTAGGGTCCATGTCAGACAGCCCTGCATCAGATTGCAGTAGTTTTCAGTAGGGCGCTGAATCCGCTCTTTCCACCATTGGTTGACCTGCTTCCATGGCCAGGAGGGACCTGGTGTCTTCCCTTGCATTGGGTGGAGGAAGCCTGGGAGCTCTCCTCCTGACACCCACCAGGGAATGCCTGGAAGGGACACCTAACATATCTGCCCTCCACAGCCTCCTGCAAGAGATGCAGGCATACCATTGATCCACTCTTCTATATCAAAACTGCACTGGTAACTAAATCAATTAATCAAAAGATGAAGTCGAACACCATATTAATGCTCTTAAATGATTTAAAACAAGACCATAATCACTGAGACTACTTTTTTCTAATCATACGCCTGAAAGATGAAATAAGTTATAACAAGTCCCCATGACAGCTTTGCATTGATTTTGTACAATCTTTTTTCAGATCTGTTCCAAACAAAATCTATTATAGGGCAGACATAGGAAACTCAAAAGCATTTTGCTATTTCAGGTGCACATCTTCTTGTAGAGAAAGTTTCATACATCAAAACTCTGCATGTTAAGAATCAGCATAATTTTTTTATGCATGACAAAGACCCAAAAAAGGAGCACAAAACTAACTTTTGCAGAAAAGCTGTATTGCTTCATGGAATTTTCCCTCAGGAAAGCTATATCTGGTATATATTCTCAGTTTCATGATTCTTAGTTTGTGTGCGCCTCCTTTTTTTTACAGTAAAATTAAAAGTACGCAATGATTTTCGTGTCTTGGAACGAAAACAAGATGCATCCCTGTACAGGAGGTCTAGGTGAGAAATCTGAGTAAATCAACAGTTGCATTCTGCATCACTTCATTACAAAAAAAAAAAAAGATACAGTATATTTTTAAGCCACTGCTATTACTGCTTACTTTTTATTTTATCAGTGTATTTCATAAGAAAACTAAATCCACCGTGACATTGTAAGGATAAATACTTAACATTACTTTGAAATAAGTGGAGATCCTGCTTTTGCCAAGACAGTGGTCTGCACAGTCCCAGGAAGAAAATTGTTGTTACAAACACTAGATTAGTGGGAAGAATTGATGCACCTGCCTGCTCATTGCACTTGCCACTCTTTTCCATTGTTCGATGTCCTGCTGCAGGAGAAAGGAGGAGTTCAAACTTTATTTTATAAAAGAAAAGATGTAATGTGGAATTACACTCCATAAATAACGATAAGCAAAGAGGTCCTTGCATTTCCCTTTCATCAGTTGCTCAACTGGTAAATAGGACTGTATCCTGTTACAGCTTTCACAGGGCCCCATCCTGAGCCATGTCAGTAAAGGGTCTGTGACTTCACAGAAAGAGTAGGATGAAACTGTACTCTGAGAGAAAAGGGACTCTGGGTCTACTAGCAAATTAACTGCTATGCCAAGAGCTGAGCAAAAATCTAGGAACTGTGTGAGGAATTATCTGGGAATGACACAGAAGAACCAACTACTGAACAGCAATTTTCAACAACTTCCCTTGCCTTCCCCACTAGAGTGATGCAATTAAAATAATCTTATTGAGACATGGGGATGCAAAAAGCAAATTATGTTTCCTGGAGCAAGGGCACACTGAAGAAAAATCAAGTAGTGAATAGAGATGTCATTATTTTCAAGGCAATTTAATTGGGCCCTAGATTTCCTGGACCAAGAATTCTGTTCCTCTGCTCACTGTTCCAAGTCAACACTGCTAAGAGACAGACCATTTTGTCCAGGTACCATTTCTCTTGGATACATATACTTGCACTGAAGATTAAGCCTCATTTGAGAGCGCACTACTCTCATATGAGGCTGTAAGGATCAATGGTAGTATCGATGCTGACAAAGCTGGTCTCAAAGTCCTGAGATTTGACACAAGAAGGGCTGTAAAAATATGGATCACTTGGGGTGACGGTGAAAATGGTCCAAGCTGACAGCAAACAAGCCCGTGGGTAAACGGATTTTTACTTTCTCTCTGAAACTTGCTTTTTCTTTTAAATGAAATCTGTCATGAGATCAGATAAAAAGATTGGATACTTTAAACATGCGGATGTTTGGCTCATCAGTTTTAGAGTCTGAAAATTGCTGATCAACAACCGTATTTATGGAATGGAAACTAACCTGTTGTACCTATAAGTTATGAAACAAGACTATTTATATAATACACAAAAAACCACAGTGACGAAAACAAGATTCTTACTATGACTAAATCAATCACCAAAGTGCATCTCTTGTACATCCTTGTGAAGCACCTAGCTCCTGGAGATAGCAGTCACAGGTGAGATGAAAAATAACTATAGCAATAACAGCCCTATTAGTGCTGCCAAGGTATGGATGAAATAAAACCAGCACCCACACACTGCAACATCCTCACGTCTGTAACAACATCCTTTCACAACGAAGTTGAAGTGGCAGGAATGGGACTTACCATCAATAACACCCTGCTGAAGAGGTCCATATCCGCTGTCTCTGTGAGCAGGTGAATGCTGGTAACATCTGCCCCGCCGCGGTCAGCTCCTAAAGAAACCCGGCTTGGATCACCTCCAAAGCTAGCGATGTTCTGGTGCACCCACTTCAAAGCTGCCAACTGATCCAAAAGGCCAGCATTTCCACTCACCTCTGGAGAACCTATCGTGGAAAATAAATAAATAGGTCTGAAAAGAAATAAAACCGTAAACATTTGAAGTTTTGATTAAATGTCACATTTTTAGCAGCTCTTGCAGCTGAATCTTGACAAAACTGATACCAGAGTTTAAAAGTCTGAAGTGGTCTCTTCCAAGGTTATCACTTTACAGATTGACTCCATTTCAGTTTTTACCACTCCACCAGGCATCCCTGGAGGTGTCTAATTGTCTGTCCTGATGACAGAAAAATAACACTCCAACTTCTAAGCTTCATTCAGACACCTCATGGCAAGATATTTGAATCCAGACTCATGTATCCATGAATTCAGGTCGTGAGATTCTTTGTCTACATAAGCAGCTCAGTCTTAAAATGAATTAAAAGCAGACAAAAAATCAGTGTGTTTGCCAAATTCTCAAGCTGGAAAGGACCCATAAGGATCATCGACTGTTTCCCTGGAATACACCTAATTGCATCTGTTTGCTTCCTACATCCCTTTTACCCTTACCATGTCTGACCAATCATTTATAAGTCACATCATCTTGCATTTCTTTACTCACGTACAGATATGATTTTGTAATTTATAATATCTCCATATATATCCTTTGAGATTGACCTATGTCTAACTGATAGAGATCAGATTTATATGTACTCATATTTTTGTTCCCATGAAAACAAAAGAAAAATAATTAATCATGTACTCCCCATGCTTAGGCATCTCCACTGAAAAGACTACTTTCTTTTGAACACCAACCAGTGGTAACCTGATACTTTGATTAATAGGAAACTAATGCTGAAAGCATCTAATGATGCAAACCCCTAGGCAAGCTTAATTTTATATCAACAAAAGCAGAAATAAGTAATTCCTACACAGTCCATAAGAAAGGAATAGAAAATGATTATTCACTGTCTGCTTCATTTTAATCCACAATGAGCCATTCATTTTTAATGATTTTAAATTCTCCACATTTAAAACTTGGAAAAAAAAACCAAGACAGAAAAGCCAGGAATAGAAACACAGCTGAAACTATTTGTTTCTTCCATTGCCAAGACCAAATAGTACAATTTTAAACTAAGGGTAGGCTCAGAAACTAGTGAATCCAAATGAACAGATAGTGGAATAAAAAGCTGCCACTTCATTGACAGGTAGCCCTGTCTCAGGCAAAGAGCAATTGAAAGCATACATCCTGTAGTAGATATCTATATGCCTACCATAATGATTTACTGAGATAGCATAGAGACCAATTTAAGCAGCAGAATAGAATATAGAGAAGACCAGATTATTGATAGCTTTGCAGATCTTACAGATACCTACATCACAATAGCTATCACTATAAGTGCCTTTTCAGTAGGACAGCCAAGAACTAAATGGCCCCAGAAACTACAACCTTCCACCTATAGCCATAGTTTCAGACGATCAGGCCAAGCCATACCAGTGAAGCAACGGAGGAAAAACTTTCCTTGCTTCAGTTTTTAGGGTTTTTTTAGTTTGTTCTGCACAACACGACCAGTTCCCAGGGTTCTCAATCCAGCAATAAACCCACTCTGTGCTGTTACAAAGGAAACCTCATTTCAAGGGCTTGCTGCATCCCTTGTGAGACCTCCCCAGAGGAAGTGAAATCCATGTAAATGTTTTAGCTACACAATGTGCCTCGCTACCGTATACTAAACAACAAGACCGAGGAGGGAAATATAACCAGTTCCTTTTGCCCTAGCAAAAACCACAGACAGGCTGTGAAATGTACCACACTCGGGAACAGACGCATGCACGGACATTCACGGTAGTTAGACCAAAAGAAACGTGTCTGCCAGGAATCTTTTCCACTGCCTTCTTGCAGGAAAATATCACATTCCTGAGGACCACAGGAGAATGAAAAGAAACCAGTGTTCAGAAGGAAGCAAACAAGGACATACATATGAATTTCTGTTATTACTAAACTGGAGAAGAACAATAGTGCTAAATTTAAGCATGAAAATCATGCTGGTTTATATGACTTCATGGACTCTTAAAAAAATCAGGCCTAAAAGCATGACTGTCTTCTCCATACTCTTGCCATCCATATCATTGGCAATTCACCTTAACTTTTCTGGGTGCAAAGCGAGAGGTGAAGGCACTAGTAAGAATGTTCATCACTTTTTGCAATGCTAATGGGTTAAATTAATTAATGGGCTAAATTAAATTAAACATCCTTTATATTTAGAAGAGTAAGAGCTCTCTCACTGCTTGCAAAAGCCCTGTCAAGGAGAGATCAAAACAACTGCAGAACTAAGAAAAAAAACAAACAAAAAAAAGGAAATCTGCTGTTTTCACTACCCTTCATCCCCCAACATCTCCATTTAACTCCTTCATTTCTAGTTTTGCAATTTATAACAAAACAACATAAGAGGATTCAGCACTTTGCTTAGTTGGACAATGAAACTGATATTGCTTATAAGATCATAATTTTTGTCTGTAACTTCAGGGCCTTCTAACAGTCCTGCAGCTAATGTCCCCAGAGTCCTAAGGGTGAGCTCCTGCCCCCTTTGAAACTGATGGCAAAAATTCCAAAGGACCAGGATTTGTCCAAGTCTTTCAGTAAGAATGGAATCATCCCTGGAATATCGGTAAGGATTTGGTTTGAGTCTTGAGAAAAACCCTTATAGTATTTGACCCAGCTTGATTACCTTCATTGAAAATCCCCAGTGGCTACTGGTCACGTACAGGAGTCAGAGGTACTCCACCAACCTGTGGTGGACCAAAGAATAGATCTTGCAGTGGGAGCATTGCTCACCAGAATGGGTATGACTGAAAACCTATGCTGACAGGGAGCCTGGTACAAACATACCACAACTCATCACCCGCACTTGGACTACAGGGGACATAGAGGAGACAGGGGTGTGGCACTGGAGGAATTTTTTGTGATTCCCATGAATGTGGTGCTTAGCTCGCTCCAATGACTCTTGTAAAGAGCTTTTCCTACTTGCTCCTGTTCCCTCTGGAGCAACAGGATTTTCCCCAGTGCACACCAAGGATTGCCCACAGGGGAAGAGGCCAGGAAAGACTTTTCCCTGGCTGCAGCTTCACAGTACAGAGAAGGAGAGGGCCCCCGAATATTCCCTACTCGAAATGAACCACTAATGCAAATTCGGTACCTTCAGCTCACGCCCTGACGATTTGGGACCTGTGTGCAGATCCCTATGAAAAAGAGGCTGGAGAATTTTCCTGATCTCTAAATTATGGACCAACATATAAACACTGCTATATAATATTCAGCCCAGCTAGCAGTTTCCACTTAGGAAGAAACCTAGGTGAGATTCAGAGGGCTGAAGGAGGTTAGTAGGTAATGCGTGGGCAGTGCTGCGTAATGGAAGCTCGCACAGCACGTATCCGCACGGCATTTGGCTCTAGCCAAAATAAAGCCACGGTATCACTTTCGCAAGCATCTGGTTTGCACTGAAGAAAACAGTGATTTTTTCCCCAGCTACATCTATTACCCACTTCATATCTAAATGAGTAAGGAGTTTGTAGTGCCAGCTCTCTAGTTACTGAATGAAAAACAGGCTTTGCTGGGAGTGAGCTTTGAACAAAACAGTAAAACAGTGAAGGGAAACAATAACCAATAGCTGCAGCTATAGCCCCAAACTAGGCAAAATCCACCCAGCGTTACTAGCAGTAAATACTCAAAAGAATCTCAAGGCAAAGTATGTAGGTCTGGTGTTTGCAAACATGGCAAATATAACCTCCTAAAGGTTATAAAGGTACTAAAATGTCCACTAGAGAGACCAAGGATTGCCACCGGACCGATGGAGCCAGAGCTCCACTTGCAATTGTTGCATTTTCTTTCCATGGCTCTCTACCTTAAGTTCCCCTGCCCCAGCCAGAATTGAAAGATGGTAGAAAGAAAAGTGTTCTCTACTTGCTTAAACAGGCAAATCTAATAAAAGGCAAAGGAAAAAAACAATCCCAAAGACCAGCTGGCACTACCACAAAGGTTTAGAGAGATGTGAACGTGCGTTTTCATGCAAGATAAAATCCTGTATGTAATGGGAATTTGTAAAATTTTTAATGCCAATTGGCATTAGGAGGCAATAGGAGACCAAAAGTATCCTTTACACTAGCGTATTGGGAAGGGATGCAAGCACAGAATACGTGAACGTGCAGTCACATCCAGGACGGTAAAAGGGGCTAACAGAATTCAAATTAAACATTCCAACTCCTTCAGAGGAGAAGTCAGGCTGAGTTACTGAGGAACCAACCAACTATCTGTGTGCTATAGTTTCCATACTTTCATGGCCTTCTTACCACTAACCTGCAGTTATCCCTCTCTGTCTCTCCCCTAACTCTGACACAAGCACAATTGAGCATTAGCAAAATTTCATGGATGGGACAGCTGGAAGTTGGAGACATTGAAAACCATATCCATAATGACAGGCCACTGAAATTAGGAGGAATTTTAATGCCTAACCTATCTGTGTGTGTGCCTGCAAAACCCAATATCCACAGTTTCATCTGCCAACAGAAGTCTAGCCAGTGCTTTGATGTTCGGGGTTTATTTTTTCTTGTCCCTTTGCCTCCAGCCTCTCCTTTTTCTCTTCAGATCAAGTACCCACCATTTCTTGGCCATTTTTTCCCCCCCAAAAAAAATCAGTGAAAGATACAGGTATCTCAAATTAAAAATATCTCACCTTTTTTTTTTAAAAAAATAAAAAAATTAGAAACAGAAGTGTTACAGAATGCAGTTTAGCCCATAGTTGTGTTTGTTCTAGAAATCCATGACTTACCAGTACTGAAGAAGCCAAAAACACCAACCCGGTAGTTTGCCGTCACGACAATGACATTACTGATGGCAGCTAGGTATGATCCATCTATGGTTGTCGTTCCCGCCTCAGCATTGTAACTCCCTCCGTTGTGGAAGAACAGCAACACTGACATGTTTTTGACCTGCCGTGACAACAAGCAGGTCAATATTCCTGTAGCCAACTGCTTTTGTAGGTCACTGATGAAAACACAAGCATCTTCCCCATTAACATCGTCTAAGCCATTCGTAGCTCTTTAACAGTGACCATAATGAGGGGATGTCTGGCCATCTGTCTGAAATTCTAGGGCTAAATTGTCCACAATGACCTATATACCATTAAAGAGGACACTATGTCCAGTATAAAGAAGATTTAATGGCACCACTGTGTTCCACCAGCCAACAACTCTGCCAGGTTAGCTCAAGGCAGACCCATTCTGCTGACTCGGTCATTGAGCATGTGGTGGGCTCGTCTTGTGCTGTAACACACAAACATGCAAGAAAAGTTCAAACAAGTGGGAAACAGGAGAAGGAAAAGGCCTGTTGGGTTGCCTCATCTTGAGCAGGACTAACTCAATAGCTCTTCAGGGCTGCTTCCTACTCTCAAGTCTTCAGCACTTAAACGCTGCCTAGTCTCAAAATTCTCACTTGACAAGAGCTCCTCATTGCTCCTTCAATCCCCTTGGAGGTTTTCCCCTACAAGATATATAGAGGGGTCCTGCAGGGAGGACTTTGTCTCTGCATGGGAAAGACTCACGTCTCATGAAGCACAAAGCGTGTCTGCCCTGAGAGAGCCCAGCAGGACTCCTGGGATGGGAAGGAGCTATGATGGGCTGCTGTCCATGTTAGCACTCCTTGCAGAGGCACACGATTTTGCTCAGAAATGAAGGCTTTTTCCCAAAACAGCACCCCATCTGTGAGGACCCTCTCTGCACAGGCAGCAGGGCTGCAGCCAAGCTGCTGCTGCATGAGCAGCACAACAGCAGAACTGCCCCAGGAGACCTCAGCATTTACCAGCAGATTACAGCTCTGTCAAGATGACACTCGGAAGAAATATAAGTGAAACATAGGGAGGGGTTTTGTTTAGTTTTTTGCCTTTTTTTTTTTTCTTCCAGCTGCAAAAAGCAGAATAACCTGCTCCAATGCTCAAAAGGCTTTTTCACAGTGTAACCTGTATTTTCCATTCAGCACTTTCATCGCCTATTGTCCACTTTGGGATTATCTCGAAGGAGAGTCCCCTCTCCCCTGCTCAGCAGTGGGTCACACACACCCACCCACTTTCTGCTTTGGCAACTGCTGGTGTTTTTCAAAGAAGGGCTGGTGGCCCCTGCAGCAGCATCAAAGTACATCTGAGGTTTGTTTTTCCCTGCAGCTAGAGGGCATTGGGCTCTGTTGCTGTTATTTTCTGGATGGAGCTTAGCTAAACACAGCAGTTCCATCTGCTCTGGCAAAGGATGTCTCGAGCAAAAATGTGAGTGGCTGTACAGGAGAAGCAGCAGAGAAGTGATGGTTGCAGCCTCCTGCAAAATTACAGGATAGGAGGCAAAATCCCTTCAGTTGCCATTAATTTGTCATGATTGTGTGCACTCCTCACTTATCTATCTGGAGAATCACTTCAGAGGCTTCTTGTGAACACAACAGTGTTACCAAGAAAACCCCAGAAACTGCAAGCACTGAAACATGCTGCTCCCTCTCAGACACTTCTGCTCCTGAATAGAAATTGCCTAATCCACGGTGCCTTGTCCCTGGTTCCCATTTCTGCACCACATGCATCACAGAGAGAGAAATGGGGCAAAGAAAAAAAGGAAAGAATCTGTTTTCACATGGAAATTAATTCTAAAATACAACCACATCGAGCCATGTCAGCTAAAACGGTATTAAATATGATGTTGAGCCTGCTCTGTCCCCTCAGCTCAGCATGGTTAAGCCTGAGGTTCCAACTAGGCATCTCCCCCCCCGTCCACAGCCTGCATAGCACCGTGACCTCCAGCTGCCCTGTACGTTGTATATTGTATTATGCTGAGCGACTTTACCCAATGCTCTAGTGATGAAAAGCTTAAGAAAGGCAAAGACGGGAGACAGAAGTTAAAGACGGCAAAACAAAGCCTGCTGCAACAGATATGGAGCAATTGGGGAGGAAGATTTAGCACCAGTGCTGTGCCTAGTGCCAAGTGTCTGGAGGTAGCATTCCCATTTCTAGTCTGCATCAAGCAATGACAGATGCTTCTCCTATGTAAAGGTAAACTATCATGAAAAATAATTTGGGGTTTTATCCTAAGGGATTTCAGTCTCAGAGGTGATGAATTTTAGATGAGGGCAGTTTAATATAATTGCCTTCCCATTTCTTGTTACCGATTTTAACAGCATAGCACAATTATTTTCATGCTGTAATTGAACTATTCCTCACAATATGAGATATTTCTTATCACCCGTCTATCTAAATATATATTTGATAGACAATTATTTTTTTTATTGTACATTAGCTGCTGGATAATTTATTTGGAATACAAGTGAATTTCCCCCAAGCCTTGTTCTCAACAAAATTCATCCAACCAGTGCAATTACATCTGTGAAGCAGAAGAAATGCAAGACCTTAACTAAAGCCTGCTGGAGCCAGTCTCTTCACCCACCACACTTGGTACCAGGCTGAGATGTAGCACCGCCAGCATCAATGCCAGGCTGCAGTGGGGCACATGTGGGGCAATGCTGGGCAGAGTGGGGCCAGCACATTCCTCGCAGACAGGCCATGGCTGCCACATGGCTACTGCCCAGTGCAGGGTTTTGCTCCATACTTAGCAACAAAACAGAGACAGTCGCACTTTGAGGTGTAAAATCTGTGCAAAGACTTCCAGCTGGGACATGGTCAGATAGCTCCCTGGCTTAGCTAGCAAGGGGATGTCTTCTGGGGAGACCAGCAGCTCCACCGTGGTCTCACGCCTGTAGGGGCTTAGGTCCCATGTGCAAACCCTCAAGGGGGAGAGAAGTTCAGCATCCACCAGGAAGCTCCAAGTCAGCTGGAAGTCTGAAAGGCTTTATAATATTCAGAACCATCTTCTCCATCCTTCTGTAAAACACTTAATGAGCTACTTGGCAGGGATAGATTTAAACTCTACTGAGCCAGGCAGCCTCAAGTGTTTTTACTACTGTACAATATTGCTCTGTAAAGAATTGAGTGCAGCAGGGATGATGCGATAAGGATGGGAAAAACACGTGCAGGGGATGGGAGAAGAGGAGAGAGGGTACACTTTCTATGCTTATTCAGTGGAGAGTTTCAACTCTTGATGCCACATTTGAGCCCTTTGCAAATCAAGCTGAAGCACACCTTTGCTTTGCTAGTGTGACAGGTGGTGATGGTCACAGGTGGAAAAAAGTCTCTCAGAAGTGCCAGTTTTATTTGAAGGGTTATGTAGTACACGCAGCTCTGTAAGCAAAATGAGGTGATGTCATTCACCTTCTTCACTGCTTGACACTTAAAGAGTCCTTCGGTGGCAGGCCGCAGTCCCTGCACCGTGCTCTTGTTCAGCCTCAAAATGCTCCTGAACAACCTCTGCATTTGCTGCTCTCCAGGAGGTTTTATATTCAGTATTTACTAGCTAATTTAACTTTCCATGGGCTGAAAATATATAACTATAGCTCTCTGTATGTGAGTAAAAAATAGAGCTCACCACAAAAAGAAACAGGAAAATGCCATGCCTTCTGCTCCCAGCTACTTCTGCAAAAACAGAAGTTTTGGTTCTCTCTTGGGCTAGACTTACACATGTGAAACTGATTGACTTGACCGGACCTACTTCTACCTTACACCTCTACAAAAGACAGGACAGATTCAGTTCTCAGTACTGCCAAGGAGAAAAGACGAGCCAGTTTAGTCTATCAGACGGTAGAAAATACAATGCTTGCAAATAAGCTATCTTGAAAGCAGCACTTAGGCGGAGATGGCAAACTGCCTGGGACAGTGACCCGATGTTTTCAATAAGCGATGACTGCACTCAAGTCAAAATGACAGTCTGGTGCTGCAGGGAGAAAACAGACTGCTGGTCTTTCTGCTGATTAAAAGGACCTGCAAGGGTCTGCGAGTGCTGCTGTCAGATAGCTAGACCAGCTCTTTCCAGTCATGCAGTATGACAGACTCATAAATTTCTATTAGAACCACTGTCCCCTTCTGAAAATTACCAGTACTGTAGAAAGAAAAACTCTGTTCCTGTGCTCTGGGCCCACTCTTCAATGGGATTCACATGTTATTCAGCATCTTTATCCCTAGCCCCCCAGGGGTTTGGCCAATCAGCTATGCTTGGCTTTAACTTGAAGCTTTATTTTATATCTGTTTAGAATGAGAAATACAAGAGCTTTCAAATGAAAGCCATGAAAATGATCAGGGGGATGGAATGCCTCTCCTATGAAGAAAGGCTGAGAGAGTTGGGGTTGTTCAGCCTGGAGAAGAGAAGGTTTCGGGGAGACCTTATTGTGGCCTTTCAGTACTTAAAGGGGGCTTATAAGATGGGGACAGACTTTTTAGCAGGGCCTGTTGCGACAGGACAAGGGAGAATGGTTTTAAACTAAAAGAGGGGAGATTTAGACTAGATATAAGAAGAAATTTTTTACAGTGAGGGTGGTGAAACACTGGCACAGGTTGCCCAGAGAGGTGGTAGATGCCCCATCCCTGGAAACATTTAAAGTTAGGTTGGACGGGGCTCTGCGCAACCTGATCTAGCTGAAGATGTCCCTGCCCACGGCAGGGGGGGTGGATTAGATGACCTTTAAAGGTCCCTTCCAACCCAAACTATTCTATGATTCTAAAATTTATCTGATTGTACCACTGGTCCAGTCATCTTTAAAATGTCTATTTTTATGCTCTGTGGGCTGAGCACAAATCTAGCATTGCTTCCTACCCTCATTCCTCAGCAGAGCTCCCATGGATGTCAACAGGGCAACAGTAAAGATGAGGGTGAAAAAACCCCATTTACTGCTTCTCGACAGGTGGTAAGTGTTGATGTGACGTGTTGCATCGCATTATCATCTCCCGGACAAACGGTCTCATTTCAGGGACATTGCCATTTCTTTCCTTAATCTCTCCTCCTTTGCTGCCACCTTCTTGTGTTTTGTCTCCCTCTTTGTCTCTCTCTTATTTCTAGGTTTTTAATTTTCTACCCTCCTAGTTACCCAAACATGGCTCACTGAAAGCCTATAGGGAATATTCTTGCACCAGTACAAACAACAAAGCACCTAATTTAACCTTGCAAGGCTTTGTGAACACCACATGAGAAACAATCATTCATGCCAATTAAAAGTACTTTGAAAAGAGACAGTGCTCAGCTACCAAAAAATTTGACTCATCTCCTACTTACAGTGGTGGCAGGAACAAAGACATTCAGATATAGGCAGTCTTCACTGACAGAGTATAATGGGGCCTCTCCATCTCCTGGCTGCCAACAAGCTGCCCTAGAGACATGGATTGAGAAAATTACAATAAAAAGGATTGCACTCTTTTTCCACTGCTGCTATTTTGATGCACTAAGTTTATAAAATCTTTAAATCAGTAGATCTCAACCACATTTAAAACTGTGCCTAGCTATACCTTAGTAACAAATATGTGGGTTTGTATACACACATACAAATGCAAAAAACACATTGTATTTTCACATCTAGAAGCCTTCCCTCGGAAAACCAGTCTCATTTTAAAAAGATTAGAACTTGAAAATAAGCCTTCAGAAAACTCACACATTACATAAACTGCACAAAATTGGCACCAGATGCAAGGGGAGCAGGACTCGGGGTCTCAGGCACTGAGACCCTGCTATAGCCTGCACACCTATGTAATCCACTCTTTTGCTGAAATGCACGTTATTTATTTTAATTTCTAATAGTCTGTGGGCTACATTTATTCATATTTATTTTAATTTCTAATGGTCTGCAGGAAAATATGGTAAGTTTAAAATTTTAACACATTTTTAAAATCTGTTTGCTCTAAGCATCATAGCAGACCATTAACAGTGCCCAGCAATGTTAAAAGTAGCCTTTTAATAGGAGTTCAGCCAGACAGCCACGTACAGAAAATCATTTTCTGGCCATCATCTGTATGAGATTCATATGCTCGAGCTTTCTCCACAACAAGAATCAAGTGGATGACTTTTGCAGTTCAGATATAAGCTATTTTGAATCAGTTCCTTCTACTTCACAGCCATATTTATATCACGCGGAAAAGCATCAAGCGCAAAAGGAAGAAACCAAAAGAAGCTATGGAAAAGATAGTAATAGCTCAGATAATTATTTCTAAATTATCATTTTTAATGCCTTTGTAAAATTTTACACTGAAGATGTAAAGAATGTAATAGAAAACTACAAGGAAAAGGACCAGCTTTAATGCAATTCTACGAAATCTTTCCATAAGGGAGGTTCCTAGGACAGTGGTATCTCAATAGCTTTCACACTGACATACAGAAGCACATAATCTCTAACCAAAACTGCTAAAGCCATTTTAGGCAATCAAAATACAAATTCCCAGGTAGGAACTCAGCCAGGACAACAGGTCTAACTCTATTAATCATACAGCTTTCCACAGGGCAGCAGGTTTTTTCCGTGCTCTTGGTTTTTTTTTTTTCTTTTTTTTTTTTTTTTTAGCAACTCATCAAGATTCCCAGCACCTCCAGCTCCCAGGATCTCCTCATGCCGAGACCGACTCCGGGAGAAGGCTGCCACCTGCTGAGGCAAGTCCACAGCTCCTCCAGCAGCTGGAAACTCCAACAGCTGGACAGATTTTTTGGTTGGTTTTGTTTGGTTTGTTTTTTTTAAAGTCTTTTATCAGGTCTAGGCTGATAAATAAACATTTATCTTCCATCAGTAACGTTACTGTGCTAATGTGAATTTCATATATACAAATATCGTGCAACACCAATATAGAGTCCTAAAAAAATAGATGTCAACACTTTCTATACATACACAGAGTGAGGTCCCTCTGATTCTCCAAGTGCACCTCCATGGTGCTAAGCTCAAAGAATTATTTTTTTAGCATTAAATGAATAATAGAAGATAATGGCCAAGTTCTTCATTGGCCTAAGGAAGCACTGAGAATTCAAAAGAAAGGAGCAGATTCACTAAGGTCCCTAAATTGCTTTGAAAATCTCAGCCAGGCTGCTCATTGCAACACCAGGTCTTCAAAGAGAGACGACAGGGACAGATGGCTCTTACCAAAGTCCTCACAGACACCACGCTGTGGCTGCAAACACAAAGAGCTGATGGTGTGTCTGTTAACCTAACATGACTATACACCTGAGGAAACAAAAAGCCACATCTCACCAGATCCCTCCAATGTACATGAGGCCATGTGGCTACTGCGGTTATGCTGTTAACACCTCCACAACTCAGGTGCAACCTGAAGGGTGAGACCACCAAAGGCCAGATGCTCTTTCAACTCCTCAAGACAACGCTGCACCTCTTTTCTCTCGGTTCATCACAGGCTTTGCTAGAAACCTCTGGAGAAAAATCCTGAGTAATGGAGGGACCAAACAGCTTCCACACAGCTGATAGTTCTCTAAATCTGTAGCCTCAGGGTGCGTTTCCACCAAAGGAGGTGATTATTCATGTCAGCCCTGCAGGGTGCCATCCTCCCAGCTCCCTTGCAAAATCTATCCTTTCCTTAACCGTGTAAGCTCTTGGGCAGATCAGCTAGCTCAAGCAGTTCATCACTACCCACATGAGGCCACTCCTGGTGCCAGGAATTGAACAGGACTGCATGGCCATCTGTGGCTGGAAGGATAACACAGGATCTCAATAGACCTCAGGTCCGTATTAGCTGCCTTGGAAGCTCTTGGGTCGCTAAACCTCATCTCTCAGCCCTGATTTCTTCAACCCCCTCTATAGAAAGTTCACCAAGTCCTTCCACCAGAGTCTTTCCTTTTGACTGTTCTGCACCTTCAATCTCCTGTTTCTTGTTTCCATCATTTTTTTTTTCCTTTCAGCTCCTCATGTCTGCCACGAAACAGTCTTGCTTTGTATTGATAGGAATGTGATCAGGTACCAGCTCTCGTGTATGAATTTCCTGTGTACACGTGCAGCATGGCTCGCTCAAATGGGTTTCTGTGCTCTGTAGTTTGCTCTCTATTGCATTGTGAGAAAGGCCCTACAAAAAACACTCCACTTTCATATCTTGTTTCTTGTTGTTGCTGCATCTCTATTTGCTGTGGATTTTTTAAAAAGAAATCCACTGTCCTAACATGTTCCACAGCACAGATATACGGAGTAGTGTCACCAAAACCCTCTTTTCTTTTCACATTCACAATTTGTCATTTTGGTTCCCCAATGCAACAAAATTAAGACTCGTATCTTAAGACTAAATGAAACACAAACATGCACACAAAGATTACGTCCATAGAGTGCCTCCAACCTAAACTCACTGAACAGTGATGTCTGTACAGCCCTGGAGAGCCAGGGCCACCCAACGGGAAACATTAGATATAGGGACTAGCCCATCTGCTAGTACAGTTCCTAGTGCTCATTTCCTCTTAAGGCATTACCTAAAATGTTTATAACTTCTGTGCTTCTGCCCAAGCCATTTAGCAAGTATTTGTCTTTTAACAGTCTTTGGACAGAAAAGACTATCTGGGTCCTTCAGCCTGACCTCCTAGACACTACTAGGCAGAGAATTTCTGTATGAGGCCCACAGCTTCTGGTTACATCAGCGTTAAAGCACTCCAGTTTGATTAAGTACTCTACAAATTTATGGCTCAGCAGGAGCAAAATGTATTTGTATGAATATTATAAATACCTGTATAAATACTCAGAATGAAAATGGACTGACAGCAGACAGTCGGCAGGGAATTATGCATAGATTCAAGGCAAGGTACTGGAATCTGCCTTTTTTCTTGAAGTGCTTGCATGCATTAACATATAGACGGAGAAATTAGTCTTTTTGCTAAACAAAGTCCCAAACTTGTATTAATCTGTACCCTATAGGTTCTTTTGCAAGAAAGGACATGAATATCGTGGTCATCACTGCAGCTACTTTCATATACCTGGATGGAACGAGCACTTCTGCAGATGATCAAAGGGTTTTCTTACCGAGCCACAGTAGCATTCCAGGTTTCCACCCAAGCAAACGGCTCTGGAGGTCGGAAGCGCCTCTCTGCAAGGGGAGGTGCAGCATATGGGATCCCCAGGAACTGGCTGATATTTCTCCACTCGGAGCCAATGCGGATCACCTGGGATTTGCCCGTCAGATCTCCATGGGACGGGATGTACACAGATGGGGTTAAATATGATTCAGAAATGGGCAGGAATAAATCTATTGGGGGCAGAGGGAACAGAGGAAAAATAATTTGCTTTTTCAAGCTAGTACCATTTCAGAAATGAAAATTAATCCCGTTTCCCTTAATTTTAAACTAATTCACTTCTTTAAATGAAACATAGATAAATTTGTGTTATTCTCTCCCTATAAAATACTTCATGCTGTGCTAGATGTTAGCTGCTGGATACAACATTTAACTTTCCAAACCCTTACTCAAACATTTCTTCCAGACCAGACATCACATTAGAATATAAATCTGAACATTTCTACAAAAAGGGAGAGAGATTTTCAGAATTGCCCCAGCCCCCCCAGCTCTAAAAAGCACAATATTAAATGTTTAAACATTTATAGCAAGTCAGAGAGAGGAAAGATAACCAGATAGCTCATTGGTTTGGGCTCTCACCAGGAAAGACTTGCACTTCAGTCCCCTTTCCAGTAGCTGTTTTATCATGCGAGACAGAAGAGCTTCAACAGAAGGTAATGAGCACAACCCATGACCAAACTCCCTGCAGCCCCAGTGTAGGGACTGCTGTTCTTGAGGTGGGAATCACCAGTGCAAGTGCTTGCTTTAAGTCAGGCACATGCGTGAACATTAGGAAAAATTCGACATTGGGGAAAATTTCTTTACTGAAGGAGTGGTCAGGCCTTGGAACAGGCTGCCCAGGGAAGTGGTGGAGTCACCATCCCTGGAGGTATTTAAAAGACGTGTAGATGAGGCACTTAGGGACATGGTTTGTGGTCTTTTCCAACCTTAATGATTCTATGAGTCTATGATTCTATGATACTACATGCCAGAGAAGGGAATGCAAGAGTCTAGGGTACCAGAGGGCCTTCGTCACCATCTCTTGCCTTCTTACTCTATTGTGAATACTGCCATTTTCTTCTACAGAACTTATGCCAGTATCTACATTTGAGATCAAACATAATTACTATCTGAATTTATTTTTTGCTTGCAGAAAATTATGAAATATTAGGGGGTTATAGTTTGATCCAAATTTTTTTTCTTGTTTATATAAGGATTATCTGAATCATTGGCTATCTATCCAAAGAAGAGTTTTTTTAATAATGCCTTACTTTAAAACAGACCTAAGTGACACCTCGTACTATTTCTCTCCTAAAACAATGTATTTGACAGGCAGGAACCAAATTCTAAGTCACGTGACTAAAACCAAAACTGTACATAAATATACAAACACAAAAGTCCAGCTTTTATGTCTCAGTCTGTGATTTTGCTCCACTTGACAGCGATAAACCCCTTTTTCTCTCATCGAGTTTGAACTTAGAAGGTTCTCACTGATTTGTCAATTCTTCACATAAATTTCAGTGAAGAGAAAAGGAAATATTTTTCCCCTTCCCCCTTATTGTTACCTGGTTTCTAATCACTTCTAATAAAAGAAATAGTCAGTATTACATGAAAAGAAAGCAGTCTCTTTTAAAATCAAGGGAAAAAAACCACCAAAACTTACAGTTACAAATAAATACATAGCCAAACAATAGAATTTTTACCTGTCTACACAACTTCTATTTCTCTCTTAAATCATTTTCACTTCTTTAAAATATTAGTTCACCTTGGTTTAGGGTTTTTTGTTTGGTTGGTTTTGGTTTTTTGTTTTCTCCAGAGATGGTCCTTACAGCTTTCAATTGACAGTGGATTTTCAACACTCCTTGTGTTATTGTCAGAGTTTAAAAGGAAGAACATATAGAAACATCTTCTGCAGATGAAAAGGAAGGAGCTGGACTTTCATTACTGTTTACTTGTTTTTACCGTTCTGCACTTTCCAAAACATCTTTCATAGACTAGACTTCCTTTATTGTACCTGCTTCAACATTAGATGGTAACACTATGATTTCATGCATTTTTATTACAAGTATTTGGGGACATTTTCCCATCCCGTTTGGCCGTAACTCCCCTGAAACAGCAATGGACAATTGTCTATCCATATTACTTTATGTCTGGTGAGGATTTCCTCAGTCTTCCATCCACAAGAATTGTGCACAGGACACCACAGTTGAGTTCCTCCTTAACCTGCTCTTACCTTGTCTCCTATAGATATATGTAGCTGGCTCTTTGAGTAAAACCCGGCAGCTGTGCCCTTGCAGTCCATGTGTGCATATCTGTGTATCAGGGTAGAAAAGGCATCTTACTGCTGAAGGCTGGATTTCCAGTGTAACCACTGTACATGACTGGTTCTTTGAACAAGCTGTGAGGTGAAATGTGAAGAAAAAGAGCAGGTAAAAATGTATTCTCGAAGTATTTTGTATGACATTTTTATAAGATGCTTAAAAGAAAGGTTTTACAAACCTTTCAGGTCAAGCAACAAGGATATGAAGTAGCTCTAAAGCAGAATAATGGGACATAAATGTCCTCAGATTCCCAGAACATTCTTCAAAATAGTCAAAGGACAAAAGGTTATATTGGCCTTAAAATGGAGCAATACAGCAAGAGAACTGGTATCACAGGCTTTAGGAGAAGAAAAACATCTTCTAATAAAGTACTGAGGACCTCAGCTGAATTCAAACAGTCCCCAGGGAGCCCCAGGGAAAGGTTTCAGAATAAGAAAAGTGATCCTCTCACTCGTCCCAGTTTGTACTCAGAGGTGGGTATCCAACACTTTTCCTTTAGAAAGGCTCCTTCAAACAGTTACAGGGAAAGGAAAAAATAGTAAGTTACACTGCTCACCCTCATAACGTGAGGACCATCTACTGCAAAAAGTGGCACCATGCCAAGGACCATCTTCTGCAGTAGATGGGAACTTTTCCTTATTTCTACCACTCTGTGGCATTGAGGAGTTGCCAGTCATGTGAAGTTAAAGGACTCTCTGCTGTCTAGTCAGGCTATTGATTAAAGCAGTTCCTTTTGTTGTTACTACAGCCCAACCCCTGCTTCATCCCAGCTCCCACTTAACCCCACGCACCACAGCTACAGGTTACTTTAGACAGTGGTAGGTGGCTCTACCATCTGTCTCACTCAATGAACTTCCCTCAACTGTTCTTTAGAAAATAAAGACATCATCCCTTTAATTATTCGCTACAGTATTCTGCAAGCTGTACAATGTGTGGAGAATCAAGAGATCTCTGCTCCCAAGAAGTGTCAAAATTACACAATCAGTGTCTGGCATTTTATGTCTATTGTATCTTTCATTAGATAAACTATTTCATGTCCCTTCTCTCAAATTCAGAAACACTGGGGTAGTCTTTAAAAATAAATAAAATCAGTGTATCTATGTCAGAAGGGATGGGGCGGGGGGGGAGCTGTTCTTGGTTTTTCAGGCTCACAAGCCCATATTTTCTGTAAAGCTATGAATAACCATTTCTTACCGGAGAGACAAAAGTCTCTGGCAGTGAAGAAGTCATTGGATATATCTCTACTAACTTGCACAACTTCAAAGTTTGAGATGGATGAATCCATGAGAACAGAGGACACATTTAAGGGTTGCCATATATCCAAATACTCTGTAAAATGAACCACACAAAAATAATATGACTAAAGGAATCAGTAAAATCTTCAGAGGAAAATAAATAGAAGCAAAAGCATTGGGGAGTTCCCCAATGAAAGACTTTCACCTTCCTTTGTATCAACTCGGAATAAATGAAATATAATATTCAAAGGCCTCTGATTGACTAGAGGGTCCAGTCCCATTTTCAGAGGTCATGTCAACTAGGTTTACACAGGTATTCAGTTAATAAAGAGGTAAACCTGAAGCAGCTCCATCCAGGTTTGCATGTAAATCCAACTGATTTAAATAAAAGGTTTCTGAACAGGCCTAATTACATTAAAGGACATAGGTCATAATGCTTGCACACAAGTTCCTGAGCAGGTACAGCCACTAACTCCTTGGAAAGCAAGTGGGGATCCTGTATGTGCCTGAGCACTCCCAGAAGACATCCACATCTCTATCTAAAACAGGAGCTGGTTTCCTAAGGTAGGCTTCACCTCAGTCACCTGAAAGGTAGGTGTCTACATCTGAGTTAATTACACTAGACTCCTTGTACTATCAGGAGGAACAGACAGTTTTACTATACAAAACCTCCATCCTGGTTTAGATGTCTGCTTTAGGATGAGACAAATCACCCCCAGGAATCTACTGATTACAAAAGCCAGCTGTCCATGTTGTCTGTACAGGGAACTTCATGTGAGTAGCTGAAATGGAGATGTCTGTGTTGCCTGCATATGTCTACACATAAAGAACAAGTCCCAGCCTTACAGACAAAGTGAAAATGAGACAACCATTTTCACAAATGTTATATTTTGTCTTCACTTCCCTTACAAGCAATCGACCAAACTCCCACAGAAGCACATGCCATTTTCGCAGTTTTACGGACTTTTTTTTTTAAAGGTCACAGGGATTATTTTGATCATTTTAATTTGATTTCATGGACAGAATTACATGAAACTCTATGAACTGTCCTCATGTCATGTAACTGCTACATAATTAGAATTTAATTTTATTTCTTATGTGTATACACATATATACAAAAATATGTACATATATATATACACACATGTGTATTACATATATATTAACATGTATATTCAAATATATACATGTACACATGCATGTACATGTGTGAGCATGTATACACACATACATACTGACTCTAGTATTCATCAAGAATTATTCTTCTGTCTCACAGTGGTTTTAAAAAAAAATCCCACAAACATTCTTTTCTCATACACAAACAGATAAAAATATCTGCAGGCTCTCAATTTTGCACACAGAATTCAAAAAAGAAGGCTTGGGAAAGAATGGGCCTTTAATTATTTTAGTTCCTTTCAACAGTTCAATATGTTTTAAAAGCAAAAGGGCCCTGCTGCGGCCACCGAGTCCTAAACAGGAGGTTGGCGTTACCCTCTCCATGTAATTGTAGGGTGAGGACAGAGCTGAGTCAGCTGTTGCCTTGCTATTCCTGGTGAGTAGATCTTGCCCTGTTGCTTGAGTTCATTTACCACACAGATGCAAAAGTTGTGACCGTTCATTTCATTAAAGATTTCTTTTAGTCTTCTGAGAAATGGGTGACTTGCGAAGATGGCCAAAATTTCCCTCCTCCCCCTTCTCACAGAAAGACAGCCGTGACCATACCATTCAACACCAAATCCGAAGCTGAGGTCTGGGGTTCATACAACCGGGGATGTGGCATGCCTCCCTGCAACTTGGCAATCCTGGTGTTGACGTACTTGTTCAGGTGATGAGAACCCAAGACCCAAAACAGACCACAGACTAGCCTGGTTGCACCATTCCTTGAGCAAATAGGCAGGGAATAGCAATGACTAAATTACATTTCAAAATTATTTTATTCCAAATAATTCATGTCAACACAGGATAACTGCCACAACCCAGGGCTCTACGTTGATGCTAGAAGTCTTTGCTTTTGCAAGGTAAATCGTTCCCAGGGAAGTGTAAACCTCAAGCATGGGTTATCTCCCAGAGGACAAGCTGAAAAAAGCTGATGTGCTACCACCATTGCCAAGGCTTGGTGCTAACTCCTTTGCTCTCACCCTTGCTGAAGAAAACGTCTGATGGAGTGATGAACCGAGTGATGTACTCCATAAACCTTCCCAAACAGCCAGCTCTAGTTCACACCTGTGAACTAGAGGCAAAAAAGCAGCACTGGGTCCCGTGGTCCTTTTCAACCACTTCAATACTATTTTATTCTTGTTATATTTGGGAGCAACTCTTCTAAGAGAGGCTGAAAGTCTCCAGCTAAGTAGAAATGAAGGTTAATTTGGTACTGCACTGTTGTATGTTAAAGACCACAAGCTTACTTGATATCGCAAAGTAGCAAAATCATCAGCAGCACTATATTCAGAGGCAGTCTTAACTAGTAAGGGAGCAACAACCCTGCAATCACAGCTTGACTTGTGCACTTAATTTTTTCTTACCCTTAAGCACTGACTATTCAATAATTTTAGAGGAACACAATGATTTTAGTCGTGTGGAAATTACTACATTTCATATTGTCAATGTTTTTTCTATTTTAAAACCGTCTAATATGACCTGCTACATGACCCATGTTAGAAAATTTCAGCCTCTACATCTAGGGTGACGGTTTGTGGCATTTATTTAGAAAGATACTTAAAAATAGAAATCAACTCTGTAAGTGATGGAGAATTAACCTTTACATCCTCTCCAGAGATTATCTGCCTGCATTGCTAAGATCCCCCAGGTCTTACTTGTCCAGATTATATCTTGACAGTTTATGTTTTCAATTATTTCTTAGGGTTTTTTTTCTGAAAACATGACCAAGAAAAGATTTTTTTTTAATCAATATGACTTAAACTTTGTTTTTACACAAGACGAATGTTGCCATCTTGCACTGTGTACAGTACTAGTAACTGAAGTCCTACTACTGGAACAAGTAATCTTTCTAGGTTCAGACACAAAGCTTCAAATTACTAGCTGTGGTTCTTTCAAAAAAGAGCCTTGTCTGGATCCCATTGTAAGCCAGCAAGTCTGGGTGCATCAGTGGTTTTGGAAGATATTTCACCAGGCTGATTCTTTTCCCATAGCTTCCCTGACTCACCGAGTGAACTCGGGCAAGTCTCATAATCCTCACATGCCTCTGTTTGCCCACAGGTCAAACATTCAGAAGCGTTCTTGCTAAGCTAAATTCTACTCTCTCAGGAAAGAAACTCAAAACAATTCCACAAAAGCAAAATATATTCTTTGGATTTACACCTTCAACACTTGAATTTGGCCTCCTGTATCTGTTTCCCTGATTTCCCTGATGTTTACTAGTTTACCATTATTAAAATCTTTTGAAGGTGCTCAAATTAAGGTTGTGAGTGCACACTACCATTATTAGGTACATGTAATGTGTTCTACATTTGATCACAAGCTAAACTTCCTACTTCTATATTAAAAGATTTTTATTTTGTCCCTTTATGTGGGATAGAGTCAAGTTAATAACATTCATTTTAAATACATATAAGACACAATGGGCACTTTGCAGCCCATGCTAGGCACAGAAGACTGACCACTCATGATGCAAACATCCATAGATCATACATCCATACCTAAAACACATTTTGTTTTGCTTATTCTTTGCCCCAAATCTCACAGAAGTGACCTTTACATCCTCCTACTACCCACAGGGAGTTGGTTTTTGGGTTGGTTTGGGGTTTGTGGGGTTTTTTTTCATTCTCAGTCCTGGATGAAGCATTCATAATCTCAGATCAGATTTATATACTGAGACTTCCAGTGTTTTTCTTTTCCGATCTTCTGCCCAGCTGACCCCAGATGCAGATAAATGCAGAAACACTAATGCTTATTTTAATGACAGAGCATTAACCCAGAGCCATCCATGGCACCACTGTGGACATTGCCAGCCAGCAGTTAGATGAGAAGGAGATTTTGGCTATTAGTTGTTTCCTTCCTCCCTTCTCCTGGCAGCGGATCCAGCAATGCCCGCAGCCATGCACACCCACTTCATTACGTGAGCAAAACAGAACTTTCCATGGCTGAGCTAAACTTGCCTCTGAACTGCTCTCACGAGGCACACAGCTACAAACTGGCACTGCTTTACTGAAAATGCATAGTGCACCTGATGGGCTGGAAGACATTTCTGGTTTATATATAGGTTAAACTCTGACCTTCCAAACCACATTTTGGCAAATGCTTTGATTGGATAATTACAGCACTCTGAATCCAGCCAGCCCTCTAACTTTTATTGCAAAATTATAGATGTCCCATACAGAGAGCCTCTCGCTTCCAGATGTTCTTGTTTGGGTAGGCAAGGTTTAAGACTGGATTTGCAAAAGGACTCACACTGGCCTTACTCTGTTCCCACTCAAGTCATAGGATCACAAGACTGGAATAGATTTCCTGGGGACACAGAGTTCAACCTCCCACTTTCACAGGCAATGACATTATAAAATCCTTTTCATAAAGTCAACAAAAGTTTCATCACTGCCTTCAGTGGAAGCAAAGAGGGGTCAGTTCTGAGTTTGCTGGAAAATCTGACATTTGATATAACGAAACAGAGATACAGAACTGCAATAAAATATAAAGTTAAATTTAGAAGAAAACTCTTGAAATTGAGGAGGTATATAAATCAGATGAGGTTAACACGAGGTTAAGGAGGTACATAAACCAGATCTCTGGGTCTAGTATTCCTAATTTATGTTTGAAAGACAAATTCTGATCTTAATTCTGAAATTTGTGAGCCATATTTAAGAGCCCTGACTCAAGCCAAAAACATGTTTACAGACTGAACTCAGTGCTTTATATCCCTCACATCTAGAGTTTTTTTCCAATGAAGACTGCTAACCTTTCTGTATACCAACAATCTCCAAAAACAGCAAATCATCAACTCAGAGTGGACCGGCAGAAAATATACTCTTTCGAAAATATAGTTGCTTATCATTTTTGTCCTTCCACTGAGATCTGAATAATTCAAAATGAGACTTTGTCTTAAAACTGCTGCATAATAACTATAATCACACCTCAGACAAA